CAGCTCCCCATGCCCTGCCAGCGAGAAGCTGGGAGGGGGCACAGCCAGGACAGCTGACCCAAAGGGATATTCCATACCATATGACGTCATGCTCAGATATAAACTTGGGGGAGTTGGCCAGGGGGGGCGGTGATCGCTGCTCGGGAACTGCCTGGGCATCGGTCGGCAGGTGGTGAGCAATTCCATTGTGCATCACTTGCTTTGTTTATTCATTTATCATTGTTATTATCATTACTTTCCCTTCCTTTTCTGTCCTATTAAACTGTCTTTATCTCAATCAATGAATTTTACTTTTTTTTCCCCCCCCAATTCTCTCCCCCATCCCACTGTGGGGGGAGTGAGCAAATGGCTGTGTGGTGTTTAGCTGCCTGCCGGGTTAAACCACAACAGGAGTGAAAGTTTGCCATGGTGATTATTCCTAATGGTTACCAGATATTCATGGCCTTGCTCCTCCACCAACCACTAGCTTTTACTTTGAACTCCCCTTCCTGCCAGCAGGCATCTTCACACCAGAACAAGCAGGTTGGATCTCTTCCTCCCACCATTCCTGCATTTCCCTTTTTTCCCCTCCAGATGTTTGTAACTGCTGAATTAAAGATAACTGCTAAAAAATGCTGTTGGTTTTCATCATTTTCTACACATCGCCATTTCCCACAACCACAGAATCTATAAAATTGCAGTTATGTTTTTACAAGATCACCAATGACTTCTTGATGGCCATTATTTTTTTCTTTGCCTTTTTTTGTTTTCTAAAAAGGAAAAAAAACTCTAGGACTTCAGCAAGACAGGTTTTATGACGGGGGCAGCACCTGAAGTTACATTCCTACACGTGTATTTAGAAACATAAATAAGATGACCTGATTTTCATTTTGGGATACCAGAAAGTACCAGATACTCACTACTGAAAAATAAGTGTAGTTTAAAAGGTTTATTTGTTTGCTTGTTTTTAATAAACCTGGAATTATGTAGCTTTGAAGGGACCTCTGGAGACCATCTTACCCAACTTCTCATTCAGAGTATGGCCAATTTGGATCAGGTTGCTCAGGGCCTTGCCTAGCTCAGCTTTGAATATCTCCACGGATGAAGACTTCACAGCCTCTCTGGACACCTGTTCAAATGTTTGATCCACTCTTATGGTGAAAGTTATTTTCCTAACACCCAACTGGAATTTCCTTTCTTGCAACTTGCAACCATTACCTCTTGTGCTATCACTGTGTATCTCAGAGGAGTCCAGCTTTGTCTTCTCTGCACCCTTTCATCAGATAGCCATCCAGCAGTAAGATCTCCCCTTTGCCTTTTTTCCAGAAGACCAAACAAAACCCACCTCACCCTTTCCTTACATGTCATGTTCTACAGTACCCAGACTTCGTGGTGGTCCTAATTGGACTCATTTGGTTTATCAGTCTCCATTTATCTTCAACATCCACAGATTCAGATACATGGAAACAAGTGTATTTCTGGCCCTTCTCCCATTTCTTTTTGATGGGCACTCTACTTGTAATTCAAAATGTTTACAGTGCTCAGCAGAAGTTATGAACTTTGCACAACTTCCTTGTCTATGGACAAGTTTCTTTATTCACAATGCCCGCAGACTTAGAACAAACAAATCCCTTCTGTGATTTCATTGTAGGTATATCAATTAGCAAAGAGCGTTCACATGCACTCTTAGTGCATCATCACCCCACCAGGAACAGTTCATTACCGTATCATCACAACAAACGAACAAGGGCTCAGTGCGTACTACCTTCATTGAAGTTGTCATCAGTTGAGATGTGGGTCAAGGGAGACTGGGGTCGAGAGTCCCCACAGAGGGAGTAGCTGTGTTCTGCCTGGATGAGGGGCGCTGGGGACGCCGGAGACAGTTCCACCTCCATTATTTCATTCTTCTCAGACAAGAAGGGATCATTCAAGAGCTGGCCTAGGACGTCAGGTGAAAACTCATCCAGGAACTCTGTGAAGTGCTGTGGAGATAAACAGGGGGGGAAAAGTTTATCTCCTTGCCTGTCTGTCATGCCAACAACAGGAGAGCATTGATCAGAACAATTCCAGTATCTGCACCAGGCATCCGTGCCAGTCAGCAGCAGGATCTACCAGCCCTGCCTAATGACCTCCTCCTCCAATCACTACTTCAAGCTGAAGAGCTACAGCTAGAACAAAAGTCCTCTCAGAGGCATACATTACAACAGAAGAGCCTGTGATTAACTTGCAACGAAAACGGAATATAGAACCATGGTAGTCATGTCCTGAAACAGCCTCCTCCCCTCCCCCCAAAGGTACTCACTACAGCATGCCACCAAAAATGGGAAAGCACATTTCACCCAGACAGCGTGAAAGATCCTTCAGGATTTATCACCAGAACACTTTGTGTGTGGAATAGAATATATTGGGTTAATGTTCACTGAAGCAGAGAAGAAAAAGGAAGCACACTCAGACACAGACTCCAATGCCACATATGACTATTTTAGCTGCACAGAATATACAGCGCGCTCTAGGAAAACGGGTCCATGCACATCCCCAGCCAAGCAATTAATGCATTTGCTATAAAATGGGTTTCCTGGCTGATTTATGTATCTATTTCAGAAGTCGCATTCCACCTAGGACTAGAGCCCATATCCAGCTTCTAGGCCCCAGAGCTAAAGCTCCTGATAGCCAGTACTAATTACCACTTTATCTATTATGCTGAATTCATTACACTGACAGCGCATGTTATGGCTGTATGTAGTAGGATAACTTTGTGTTTGTTTCTTATTCAAAATGAGCACAAACCAAATCTCGCTATCTACTTCCGTGAGACTCTAATGCAGTTCCCATCAATGGCCAAAAACTCTGCATCTCTTCTTGGTTTTGTTTCCAATGTCACAAGACTACATCTTTGACAGACCAAGAAACTGCACTGCAAGAAACCATTCCTGCTCATCTCATTCACACAAAGAATTCTATTTTTGTACAAAAATATTTGTACGATGAATTGGAACAAGCTTTTCCAAACAATCAGGCATTATCTACCATCTTATATAGGAGTCTTTGTCAATTGGGGCATGATCCTACAAAAGTCTAAGTCTGTTTGATTTGCTCTGGTTTTGCAAGCAGTATTGATTTTGGCTCTTCGTCTTGCTCTCTCCTGCAGAAACAAACACTGAAATTCAAGATTCGGCTTCCTGTAGGCTAAATTAAGAATTAAACAAGTCAATATTGTATAAATCCATGAGGGAAGCGGTGTGCTCACACCCCCATGCACGCACATTTCACAGCTCCAGCAGCACCTGTGGCCTTGAAGCCTGATGCCGGAAAACACAGCACAGCCGGCTTTCACAGAGTCCCTTGGAAGTTTGAGCGCCTCTTCCAAGATGCTCATGAATGCTAACTGAGCCTTCTTTCAAAATTAATAAGGCTTCAGTCAATTCTGACTGACACTGAGGAAAAGAAAATATTTACTAAACATAAGGCAATAAACAGAGGACCACAGTTGCTATGCTGGAATAGCAAGCTAGCTAAAGTAAAGCCTTTACAAATGGCAAAACAGATTTGTAGCCTCATAGTTACTTACTGTAAATGATAACACTACTAAACAAATTCTCAGATGACTCAGCAAGAGGGTCATGACCACCTTAGAAAGCCTTGTTGATTTTAATTTTGATACCCAAGGACTCACTAGCACTTCACATCCAGGGCTGCCTCCCAACATCTGCAAGGATAAAAGTATAAACTACAATTCCCCACTATGCAAAGAAGAAAGAAAAAGGATGCTCAAAACTAGTTGAACACCCTGGTGCATCAATAAAGACACTGAGTAAAACAGGGTAGGCAGCCATTAAAGTGTAAACAAGGGACAGAAACACTTCCCAATAATGACAGAAGTCAAGGATGAACCTATAAAAAAGCAAGGCCTTTCTTAGGGACAATTTTTTCCCCCCAGTCTACACACTTTTCATTCAGGCTAATGGCAAGAGTCAATTATATCTGTTTGCATATTTTCCTAAAGCTGGCTAGAATATTTCCCTCTTTCTAGTTCTTGCATGCATTATTCTGACTGATGATTAGCAGATGCTGAAATAGAGCTGCTACAATATTTGTACCCTGGTTTCTACACACAGCTACTTAATCACTAGTGTCATTCAATCTGAGGATGTCATCCTTGAAAATATGATACTTAAGTGTTAACTTAGCCTGACACTATTTAGATGTTCTAATTTAACAGACTCAGCTGAAAGACAAAATGACCACAGGCTACTCGGCTATTTTTGGCAAATTCACAACTAAAGATTTCTATTAGCCTTCTGTCTATTACTGCTTTGATATGGAAGAAATTCCTATCAAGTGTTATTTTATTTCTTCCATTTGATTGAAGTTAGGTACATTAGATTTTTTTTTTTTTTTTTTTTTTTTGGCCTTTCTTAATGGGGAATTTTAAATTGGCCTTTCTGAATGGGGAATTTTCCTAAAACTGCTTCAGGAAAAGCAAAGAAGGAAACAAACATTCAACTTCCCAAAACCAGAGAGAAAGAGGACCTTGGGGTGGGGAAGGACATTCAACATGTTCATCAACATTTGTGCTTTCTCCTTTTCACATGCAGCTGCAAAGCAGCAAGCTGTGAGAAAGAAAAGAATTTGCATTTACAACAGAACTGTCTGATAGCAAATAAATGGTCAATCAGTTTTTAAAATTATTCTCTAATTTCATTACAATTTTTAATCTTATTTTTAATGGTCTATGATAGAACTTTGAATACTGATCAACAGAGAAGCCTCAAACAATTGCCACAGGTCAGACTGCACAGCTACTGAACTCAAGGAACAAACAATTTTAGGGATCTGGACTTCTCACTTCGTGATTACAAAAAACACCACCACTTGATTTACAAGAATCTTTCATATGTTATACACATCCCCACCACAGTGAACGCTTAAAGCTACCTCGCTTTGATTTTTTTTTTTCCTTAAGAAAACAATTGTCTCATTGAAAGCAGCCCCATTTGCCTAGAGAATTAAGAAAGAAAAGGCACCTGAGCAGCAGCTACAGCAGAAACCATCTGGGAGCAGTTAGGCCTCCAGCTCCTTGAAACTTCCACCTACACCTAAGCTGCTTCCTCTGTCTTTTCAAAGCATGTTCTCCCATTGCCAACCCTCCTCCTCCTCCTTTCCGCGCTCCCTTCTCTGCTTCCGCATGCACCTTAGCGGTCATCAGCCACTTCCAAGGCTGGAAAGCCTCAGAATAACCCTCAATTCTGATATGGCAGCAACCACCCCTGCAATCAGGAACAGGAAAGGGCAATTTAGGGAGGAAACTGAGAATTTTACCCTTAGAACCTGTATATATATTTGCTTGCAAAAGAAAAAGAAATTTGTCTGTGGCTTTCAGCTTGGCATCTTTCACCCAGAGAGTTCACCTTAAAAAAAAAAAAAAAACCCGAGAAAAGAGCACTTGCATTGAAAATGTGCCTTTTTTTCTTTTCTTTTTATTTTTAATACCTCTGTAGACAGCTCCATTGCCAGCTTCCTGCTATCCTCACACCCCACTGGCAGTCACAGCACTAATTGCAGACATGTGTTGGTACAAGGAGTCTGCTTGAATTATTAAACTATTCTCTCTACATAGCAGAGATGTGTTCAGCTGGGATTTTAACCTCTGTAAAAAGTCACAGATTTAGGACAGATGTAACCTTATCTTCGGCTTCCCCTTCCCCCAGAACCTTGAAAAGACAAACAAAACAGCAGTGCTCCTGTTTACAGAAAGAAAGTTAAGTTGCAGCCCCACGGAGTTTCACCACCAATCTGGTGGGACATTTGCTCCCGCCTCTAACCCAAGTGCTTTTGGGGAACACAAAACACCTACAGACATCACCCTGAGGTAAGCAAACAGAGGAGAGCTCTTATATCTGGAATTTGTCTGTGGCTTTCAGCTTGGCATCTTTCACCCAGAGAGTTCACCTTAAAAAAAAAAAAAAAACCCGAGAAAAGAGCACTTGCATTGAAAATGTGCCTTTTTTTCTTTTCTTTTTGTTTTTAATACCTCTGTAGACAGCTCCATTGCCAGCTTCCTGCTATCCTCACACCCCACTGGCAGTCACAGCACTAATTGCAGACATGTGTTGGTACAAGGAGTCTGCTTGAATTATTAAACTATTCTCTCTACATAGCAGAGATGTGTTCAGCTGGGATTTTAACCTCTGTAAAAAGTCACAGATTTAGGACAGATGTAACCTTATCTTCGGCTTCCCCTTCCCCCAGAACCTTGAAAAGACAAACAAAACAGCAGTGCTCCTGTTTACAGAAAGAAAGTTAAGTTGCAGCCCCACGGAGTTTCACCACCAATCTGGTGGGACATTTGCTCCCGCCTCTAACCCAAGTGCTTTTGGGGAACACAAAACACCTACAGACATCACCCTGAGGTAAGCAAACAGAGGAGAGCTCTTATATCTGGGTGTGCAGCGGATTTTGGATAGCTCTTCGAAAGTAGTATTTGGCTGCAGACCAGCTGGGCCGCGGGCTGCAGCTCTCCACAGCATCTGCCTGTTGCTGCCAGACAAAGGCCCTTTTCTCCAGCTCTGCCTAAGGGATGAGGGTTTTTTCTTCTTTCTTGACTGATTAAATGAACATCTCTGAAGTAAAACAGAGACTCGGATTTTGCTAGGTGCATGGCAGTGCTGACTTCTCCACCAGATGACCTGAAGCCAGACAAGAGCAGCACTAGCCCCAGTTGTCTAAAGATGTGACATTATCACGACTAAAAATGAGACAGCCATGTTCAGAAAATTGACTGTCTAAGACCTCACTAAAAAAGGAATGAAGAGAAGTCAAGAGCCCCAAATGACACTTCATAACTATATTTCAGTTATTAAACAAGTGACAGGCTTTGCTGAGCCTGGAAAACGCACTGTGTCAGCTGCAAGTCCCACACGCTGACTGTAGCAGTACAATCCACCCTTTCCAGCAGAGCCACCCCAGAGGGCAGCTGCAGTGGCAGCACCCTGGCGCACTGCAAAAC